AGGTGCGTTCGTACATTGAAGCATTAGTTCCCATAGGAACTAATGCAAAGCTGGTTAATACGTACTCTACCACTAGGGGGAGAATTTTTTTTTAACCTAAATTGACCTTAAAAAAAGAGCAGGAAATTTTTTTTTCTTTTCTTATCTTGGATTTCTGTTCTCAGATAGAAGCAAAATTTAGCAAATGGAGCTGTTCTTAAGTTGGATTGTTCTTAAGTAGAGACGTTCTTAAGTAGAGACCCCACTGTATGGGGATTGGAGTTCTGCCCTTTTTTATAAGTTTGTTGTTACAGTTACAAAAAGACCTTCCTCTTCAGGCTGGCTTTTCCTTAGTGATTGGCTAGAGAGATTTTTAAACAGAAAGGTTTGCATATTGCTGCTTATTATTATTGTTTTTAAACACTGTTTTAGTAATGCTTCTACCTAACATTTCAAATATATTTGCTTAATTCTTTCTACATATTTAAACAATTTACTGTTTTTCACTTTTAATTTTGGTTTTTAATGACATAAGCCACCCTGGAATTAATTAATTTACTGTTTTTCACTTTTAATTTTGTGTTTTTAATGACATAAGCCACCCTGGGTTCTTTTTTAGGAGAAAGGCAGGGTAAAAATATTTAAAATAAAATAAATGAAAGAATATTTGTGAAGAGCTTTGATTCATTAAATTTGCTACAGAGGAGCTCTTGAGTGGGTGGGTGGGGTGGTCCTAAGGATGTTCAGTCTAGTTTGGAGAATACAGGCAATGCATCATGAGACATCCTGATTTCACCCTCTCTAACAGGTGGCTCTCAGAGTCTGCCCGGTGGTTGTTGGCCAAAGGGAAGCTAAAGCAAGCCCACAAACATTTGCAAAGGTGTGCTAAAATGAATGGAAGAAAGGACTTCACTGCCAGGATAAACCCTGAGGTGAGTCAAAGGCTCTAGGTCTAGGTAGGAAGAGAAGGGCTTGAGCCCTGAGGGCATGCCCACACTGCCATGAAAATGCCACCAACTAAAAAAATGGCGGCATCAATGTCGAGCGCTGACTGGTGTTGAGGGTTGCATGGTGCCTAATGCAAATCAGGAAGTATCAGATGGGGAGAATTTTTGCTGCTGTGCCTGTGACTCTCAATCCTCTAGCATTTTCTTCACCATCATTCACTGCACCTTGATTGGTTCTGCCATAAGGCAGAGTAAGGGCGCAACTAGACAAGGCAAATGCCAAGGGTTATGTCTTTAGGGGTTGTATGTGTCACCCATCTTGGTCTCGATATTTATGTTTCGCCCTAGGTGCTGTCATTGTTTAAAATCATTTTAATATGCATGCGTGCATGCCTTCATATGTTACTCTGACTTCATCATCATAATCTCATTCCTCTACTCTTGGAGGCTGACCATTGACATGCGTATATTCACTTTGGATATGGCAGCTTTACGCAACAATATTGTGTTGAATCAAAGCCAGTGCCCACTGTTCTCTAGCCAACTAAGTTATTCTCTTTCCTACATTTCTTTTCCCATTTCATTTACCATGAATAATCAGATGCAATACAGTGTTTTCCCCCCTCATTAAATGAGCAAAGTATTTTGCTTTTCTATATTGCATGGGTTCTGAGATTTCATGGTCATTCTTTCTTACTTCTCCCTCAGTCACTTTCTCAGTGAAACCCTTACGTTTCTGCAACAGATCTGCATTTTCAAATTTATAGTTGGCAATGTTAAAACCCATTACTGCATACCATCCCCTTGAACTAAGAATACATAGCCCTGTACAATGAGGGTTTCCAAAACCCAATACAGTATTATAATTTTGTTGGAAATGGCATTTTTCATTTTGGTTTTTGATTTCTGCATTTCCCGTCCTACGTCCACATATGGTAGAATAAATGATGTTGTTCTCTTATATTCAAGCAGCTCTTTACTTCTGATATGGAGTATCAGTGACTGAAATCCTGTTCATAGGGATACCCATCATCCCGGTCTAACATTTAGAAGAGGAACTGATTTCAAACAGTCCTGGCTTCAAATCAATTTCCAGCTTTAAATCATTTCCCTTCCATCCTGCAGCTTCTGAAACGTGCCCTGGCATGGAGTGGTTTGCCCTAAAATGGCCGCAACCCAGCCACATCTCATTTCATTATGTAAATTATGCTCATTTCATGATGTAAATCTGCACTACAGGATTTAGCCAATGAATTATTACTATCCATTAATAATAGGCTTTCTTGTTTTCTGAATCTGCCTACTATCTCATTGATGTTGTCAGGCAAATTACAAAAGTTTAGGGCCTCTTTCAGATTCTCATTTTTGGCCATAGTTTTCTTTTGATTCCCTTAATCCTGCTTCAGATGTTGTTGTATAATTCTCCACATCTGATGCCATCTTTATTTTCACACTTTTGTTTCTTGTCCATTAGCCACATTTATTTTGTGATTTTTCATTAACATTTTCACTTTTGAAGTGACTGTTGACCAGGTCTGCTAATACTTCTGGCAGATTAAAGCAAGTAGAACGTCAATCAGAGCTATAAGAGTGTGCACTCTTACAAAAATCCTTCCTTAATAACAGCAAATACACTAGGACCAATTAATACGGTAGTTTCATTTCTATGCTTTTTGTCTTTCCTCTTTGTATTTTCTGTGATTTGAGACAAACCATGGTGACAGAGGGATTATAATTTGCAATTTTATTAGCTCCTGTGTAAATTTTCACTGATTTAGCATAGTTTCAGTACCTCAGATTAACTAGGATATAATCTACAGTATTTGGTTTCTTACAATTGCCATCTGGTGGAGATTTTCATATATACAGCCTTCTTGTTAGCAATCTGAATGTACTGATGGTGGCTGCAAGTTGTTATTCACAGTATGGTATCATTCCTTCTCCACATTCATTCCTGTTCCTAGTCCATGTTTTGCACCAAAATCTCTCTAGGCTATGGCCAGATTGCTCAGTGGTTTAAGTATCTGGCTGCAGAGCCAGCTGTTGGGAGTTCGATTTCCCACTTATTATTATTATTCAAAATGTTCAAAAATACCAGCTACAGTCAATCAAAACCATAAGAATATTGACTGGTATTACACAACAGATACAAGTTTTAACCAAAAAACAAAGTATCTGTTAAATATTGATGTAGTATATATATTGCTCCTAATATTTTTGTAGCTCTAGTGTTCTACACCCATAACCATTGAAACTGTCCATTCTCTTCATGTAAGGAACTGTTTGCCTTGAAATTTTTTTTTTTTTTGGGGACTTATATACCGCCCCATAGCGCTAATAATAATAATAACCATCATCATCACCTCTATTCTCTATTTTGGCATTAGAAATGTGAAATGTCTTGATATTACATTGTTATCTGCCATGAAGGTGCTTCCAATTGATGATAACTTTACAAATTAATGACCTCCAAAAAGTCCTATCGTTAATAGCCCTGATTAGCACTTACAAACAAAAGGCTGTTGTTTTCTTTACTGATTCAATCCACTTCTTTTCCAGACACCTTCTAATCAATGGTGTCTTCTTGTTACAATGGTAGGACCCCGTATCTTCTGGGGATGGGTTCCAAGCCCCTGTGAATCCCAAAAACCATGGATAACAGAACACGTTATATAATGCTTTAGCATATTAAAAGGGAAAAAACAGAGGCCAGTTCTGTGCAATACATGTGAAAATAGATTTTTTTCGTAGATTTTTTTTCTTTGAATATTTTTAATATTTTCAGGTTGTGGATTAGTGAAACCACAGATACTGATCCCATGGATATGGGGATCCTACTGTATATGTTAAACCTACAATAGTCTCAGTTCAGCCATTTTAGCTTCTAATGAGAATTCACTGGTGATTTGACTTAGAGCTCACTTTGTTGTAAAACTGACAACCCAGGATCTCCCTAAAGCTGTCCCCCAATGCCACCCTTTCAATTATTATTTTTCCTGGCAGCTTTCTTCATTGTCCAGCTTCCACATTCAAACACAGTACCTGACCGTCTCACTGTATACACACTCTTGTCTTAGGCCTCCAATTGCACAGTTTAAAGAAGCAGAAAAAAGAGAGGAGAGAAGCCAGGACAGCCGGCGGATGGGGCAACAACAGAGAATGCCACGGCCTCCTCTGCTCTGAACAGAAGGACTGTGTTTTATCTTGAATTATACTTACTGTTTTCAAATGTCTATCTAAACATATTGGGGAACATGCACACTTTTTATGCTTATCTGTGCCAATTTTTGTTCTCTTCTTGGATGAAGCCTTTCTTGTTTTCTGAAAATGCATGTCCGCTCTAATTCTGAGCTTCTTTTTCCTCAGGTCTTGAGCAAGACAGCAGCCGCCGTAGCACAGAGGTCCAGTGGGAATTATTCCTACACCAGCCTTTTCCAAACACCAGTGCTAAGAAAGATCACCACCTCCATGGGGGCTGTGTGGTGAGCTGCACTTTTCTCCTTTCCCCATCCAGGGATTTTTGACCTACCCGTAGCCTGAGTCTGCATTTCTTTACCTCACTTTCTCTCCCTCCCCTTTAGGTTTGGAGTGGCCTTTTCTTACTACGGCATGAGCATGAACATCACTGGCTTTGGCCTGGGAATGTACATGACTCAGTTTGTTTTCGGCCTCATTGAGATTCCTGCCAAGCTCCTCGTGTTGGCTGTGCTGACTCGAGCCGGACGGAGACCTTGCCAAGCTTGGACCCTGATCCTTACTGGGTTGTCTATAGGAGCCAACATTGTCATTCCAAAATGTAGGTCGCTTTGTTTTATTTTATATTCTGAAAAGATTATATTACTCTAATATCATAAACATCATCATCATCTTGGAACTACAGAGCTTGAAGGGACCATTTGGATCATCGAGTTCCGCCTCTGTCAAGGAGGCACACCAGGGAATCGAACCTAATGACACAATAAACATTGCATTATAATAACTATAAGCATGAAGGCTATTCACAAATGCACTATAAAAATACGTTACTACCATGTTTCCCTGAAAACAAGGCAGGGTCTTATATTTATTTTTGCTCCAAAAAACGCTATAGGGCTTATTTTCATGGGATTTTTTTTTCATGTACAACAATCTACGTTTATTCAAATACAGCTGTGTCCTCTTCTTCTGGTTGCTGCACAAGGGTGGAGGGTGGGGTTTCACTTCACTGGGGCTTATTTTTGGGGTAGGGCTTATACTACGAGCATCCTGAAAAATCATACTAGGTTTTATTTTCAGGTTATATTATATTATAATATAACCTGAAAATAAACCCTAGTATTATATACAGTGGTGCCCCACTTGACGATTACCCCGGTAGATGACAAAATCACTTGACGATGACGTTTTTGCGATCGCTATAATGATCGCAAAACGATGATTCAAATGGTTTTTTGTTTTGTTTTTGTTTTGTTTTTTGCTTTATGACGATTTCAAAACAGCTGATTGGCGGCTCTCAAAATGGCTCCCCACTGTTTTGCTGACCTCATTTCGCAAGACAGGGAGAGGAAAATGGCTGCCCTATGGAGGATCTTCACTGCACGATCAGGAATTTCCCCCATTGGAACGCATAGACTGGTTTTCAATGCATTTCAATTGGGTGTTTTTTTCCTGCTTGATGACGATTTCACTGTACAGCGATTTTGCTGGAATGCATTATTGTCATCAAGTGGGGCGCCACTGTATTACTTATAGCTGAATGGATAAAACACCAAACTGACAAATAGGATTGTGTGCTTCAGAAGACTCAAGAGAGAGAAAGAGCACTGAGCAGAGAGGTGGGTCTCCCTTTGAATTTAGAGGCAAGGGGAAAAATGATAGGTTCGTGCTGGAGAGACTGACAGTCTTCCCAGTCCAGAAATGCGCCCCCCCCATCTAATCTTGCTTGTGAAGGAACAAACCTTTCACTGGCTTGGATGCTCTCAACAGTCAATAAAAATACCTACACTACCTTTTTAACCTGAGTCAACCCGGCACCAAGATTTGCACTGATTGCACTACATTGGTGTAAAAACACAACAAGGTTTTGGCCAATTGCTGTTAAATATTGACACATACATCAAATCTCACTGGGCATCACATGCAGATATTAAATATTTAGAGATTATGTAGCAAATGCACAGAAAACATTCTATTTTAATAGTGAACACTACATATGCCATGGTCTGTCTCCCTCTAGGGACCAATTTAGTAATGACATTGTGGAAATATATTTCTCTATTAAATGCTCTATATATGTAACATGGGCCCTGGCTTCCTCTAGTGACCAGTTCTAGTAACTTCATCTTTAGAAATACTGTATATTTTTCTAGGATTTTCTTGTAATATTTTAAATATTTTTTAAATATTTTTAATATATTTCTTTCTACTCCCAGCATTAGAGACGTTGCGCTCAGTGGTTGCCATCACAGGTAAAGGACTCTCTGAAGCTGCCTTCACCATGGTCTTCTTGTATACGTCAGAACTCTATCCCACTGTCCTTAGGTAAGAGAGAAGTTTTCCCTGAGTTGGTGAGTGACACTGCTATTATCCAGTAGCTACATTTTCCTACTTTGAACTAAATGGATTATTTATTCTGATCCAGTGGAACTGTTTCTTCCTGTGTTCCAGTTCTATACTGAATGATTAAAATAAATATACTCCATTAATTTGTTTTTCTACAACTTTAGAGCTGAGACAAAGCCTAAGAAATAACTTTTTAAAAGCAATCTGTTAACATTGTTCCATTATACCTGAAGTAATTACTGTAGTTACTGATATAGATATATTTCTTTAAAAGTTACTTCTATTTCTCAAAGACAATTATATCTTATTCTGAAGGAAGAAAACACATCTAAATGTTACATGGCATGAGTTGGCAGTATGAAGCTCTCTTCCTTTCTACCTTGTTGCTGCTTCAACTCAAAGTGCAAGATGAACAGTAATTAAATTATTTGATTTTTTTCCTCCACCATTTAGTGAAACTGCACTCTTGCAATTAAAAAAGTACTGTAAAAATTACAATTCAATGCAAAAGGAGTAAACATATTCCTTGTTATTCTACAGTTGCAGTGTAATGTATTTCTAACAACACTATTTGAAAAAGAAACTTAATTGCAAGTAACAGTTAGTTAATGCTAAGAGCTGGGTTTAAGGCTGCAAGAGTGATGTGACCGATAAATTTATTTATTATTAATTTATTTACTTATTCGATTTATACCCTGCTCAACTAGACCGAAGTCTACTCTGGGTGGCTAACAATAAAACAACAAAATAAAACAACGAAATAAAACAACAGTTACAATATAATTCAAAATGGCAAGGTCATTAGGTGATGACAGGAGAGAAAGCCTGCCTAAAGAGCCAGGTCTTCAGTTTGCTCTTAAAAACACCCAGCGAGGGAGCCAGACAGATAGTCTTTGTGGGCAGACTATTCCAGAGGCGAGGGGCCACTGCTGAGAAGGCCCGGTTTCTTGTTCTTTCTCTCCGGCCCTCCCTCATCATTATACTGTACTGTACATGAATCAGTCAGAATTAATACATGAATCCATCAATTGCTGATTTTATAAATGTGGTGCTGTTTGCTCTTAAAAACACCCAGTGAGGGGGTCAGACAGATAGTCTCTGTGGGCAGAGTATTCCAGAGGCGAGGGCCCACTGCTGAGAAGACCTGGTTTCTTGTTCTTTCTCTCCGGGCCTCCCTCAGCGTTATACTGTACTGTACACGAATCAGTCAGAATTAATACATAAATCCATCAATTATTAAACTGATATTTCTTTCCCTACCCAGGCAAAAGAGCCCGAAAAACCCACTACAACCAATCCATCAATTATTCAACTGATATTTCTTTCCCCACCCTATGGTTCTTCTAAAAACTGAGACAAATGAAGAAGCGGGCATGCCACATTTATAAAATCAGCAATATTATTCATTTGGAAGCAGTAAGTGCTGAGGGATGCAAGATGGCGAGCATGCTTGCCCTTGTGCTCTGCTTGTGCCTTTCCCAGAAGCAACAGGTGAGCCACGGTGGGGGACAGAAGGCAGGATAATGGGAACTTTAGTCTGATCCAACACAACTGTTGTTAAGTTCTTCATACATTAACAGAGGAATGGGATTGTCCTTTCAGGGCAACACATTCGGAATATCTTCATGAGCCTTGAACCCTCCTCGAGGCTTTCCTTTAATCCAAGACATTTTGCTCTGATGGTCATAGCTCCATAGTCAGG